CATGCAGGTCTATGTGAACATTGGTGAGGGTAGGAAGTGAGAGGGGGAGGGTTAGACTATATCACTCTTAAGGTTGGTTGTAGTTCTAAAATACCATTCTTAAAAAAAAAAACTACTTCAGGAGGCACAATAAAAATCAAGAGATAAGTATATTAAAGGCAATACACATTTTTGTTCAAAATTTATTTAGCAGAATTCCAATAATAACTCATGTCCTCTCAATATACTACTCTTCAAACATCAGATATGTATTTGAAGAATACTTATTACCTACTTTCTGCTTCTTCTTACTTCATAGGTAATCTTCATAAGTAATCAGTTTTCTTACTTTGATAACATAGGTGGGGTATGTTTAGGCCATTACTATTGATTTTTAGTTATTTTTAAGAATATATGTTGATAAATAACTTCCAACTACCCATAGGAATGCTAATCAACCATTGTTATTATTTGGAACGTAACTGAGTGAAGGAATAAAAAAGTAGAATGATATGGCTGATTTTAAAATATAGGCCATTCCCAACTTTGTGTTCCAAAAACTAATTTATGGGTCAGTTGGAGAATTTGTAATATATTTTCCAATGGAACTAATATTATTACTAATGATTACTTCCCCACCCATCCCCCAAAGTCTATTTAACCCACAATGTAGTGTCTTGAGGGTAGTAGGTAATTAAATTTTTATTCAGTTGACTAGTTTTAGAAGTCTTTACTAGCAGTGTGACCACGGGTAAGTCACTTAACCCTGTTTGCTTCAGTTCCTCATCTATAAAATGAGCTGGAGAAGTAAATGGCAAACCACTCCAGTGTCTTTGTGGAGAAAACCCCAAATGGAGTCACAAAGAGATGGATACAACTGAAAAACGACACAAGAACAACAGAAGTCCTATTAATCCTGATCTCTTCTTAATCTTGTGATGACAACCTAGACCTTGAAGTCTAAAACCCCGTCCAAATCTTTAGTTTCCCTAATGCCTATACTGTGAATTACCTTGAGTCTAGAACTCCTCTGGTTCATGAAAGGATAAGGAAAACCTATATAGTAAACTTGGAATTCTGGGTGATAAGGAGGTGAAAGGAAGTTTCTGTTGATCTTATGTGCATGATGGATGACTCAAGTACAGGAACTGTCATTTGGAAAAATGGCTCTGGTAGAAGGTTCCTCAATTTTAGAGGGTGGGGCTCATCCAGAAATAATGCATCCAAGAAGGCCTTAAGGGTGAATAAGGTTCTGTTATATAATGATCATAAGTCATGTTTGTAAATAGATTGCCAGAATATTCCTAAATTAAGCATTATAAGGTGAGAAGGCAATTGTTTCCTCACTGTAAACTATTGATAATGTGCTGAGAATATTTTTTCCTACTTCAGTAGTCTTATATTGGCAAATATTTGTGACATTTAATTAAAATGTAGATAATGAATAAAATATAAATAATTTGCTTAGCACAAATTGGGGGCTTTCTGTTCAGATGGTGTTAGCATGTAAATAGTTACCAGGCTGATAAAGTCCAGATTTGTTTTATGGGACTTAATAACATAAATCCCAGTGATTAGCTATTTATTCCTAGAACTCAAATGTGGTAGAATAGCATGCACTATTCCACAAAAAATAGATAAGTATACCTCATATTGATTTTTTTTGATGTAATAAAGTTTTGATCAGATTATTCCAAGAACAGGGGTGAAGCCAAGATGGCGGAATGAAAGCAGTGACTTGCTTGAGCTCTCCCCCAAACCCCTCCACATACTCATAAAAAATGGCTCTAAACAAATTCTGAAGCAGCAGAACCCACAAAACACAGAGTGAAACAAATTTCCAGCCCAAGACAACCTGGATGATTGATCAGAAAGGTTATCGCGCTGGGCCGGGAGCGCAGCGTGGGCGCACAGGCAGCAGCAAACCTGGAGCAGGCCTCAGAGGACTGAATCTTGTGCAGCTGTGGAGGTTTCCAGACTCCTCAGTCCACGAATGCCAAAGACAACTTAGAAGGTCAGTGGGAAAAGTCTGTTTCTGCGGTGCTGAGAGAGGAAGGCGGGGTCTCAGCTCCATTCCGCAACAGCCTGGCCCTGGGGGGGGGGCAGCTGCTTCCTCAGCTTCCAGCCCACAGACTGAGGGGGAATCCAGTGGCTGATTAGAGAGGGACTGCAGGGATCTCTTTGCCAGTGCTGAAGCAGGAATTTCTTGTTCTGCCTGTGTGTGGATCTGGGTCACAGTTCTGGGCGGCTATGCTGGGGTGAGGAGGACTGCTGGCATGGTGGAGCTTGTAGTGTCTGTGAAGAGGAACCCCTCCTCACAGTTACAGGACAGAAAGGAATACTTGTGGTCACAGGCCAGGAAAGAGGTAAACACCTCGCCCCTTATCATACCACCTTGGAGGCACTGAAAATTTACACGTCCCTACAAGTATCTCTGAAAACAGCTACACAAACCCCTGAAGCTTGGGACAGTACACTCTCCACATTGGAAGCAGACTCTTACCTTAACAAAGAGTTTAAAACTCAGGTAATTGGCTGGGATCATGAGCAAGCAGTGCAAAAAGAGTCAGACTATATTATCTTACTTTGGTGACAAAGAAGATCAAAATATACAACCAGAAGAAGACAACAAAGTCAAAGCTCCTACATCCAAAGCCTCCAAGAAAAATATGAATCAGTCCCAGGCCTTGGAAGAGCTCAAAAGGGATTTTGAGAAGCAAGTAAGGAAGTAGAGGAAAAACTGGGAAAGAAATGAGAGTGATGCAAGAAAATCATGAAAAACGTGTCAACAGCTTGCTAAAGTAGACCCAAAAAAATACTCAAGAAAATAACACCTTAAAAAATAGCCTAACCCAAATGGCAAAAGAGGTCCAAAAAGCCAATGAGGAGAAAAATGCCCTAAAAGGAAAAATCAGCCAAATGGAAAAGGAAATCCAAAAGATTACTGAGGAAAATACTTCCTTAAAAATTAGAATAGAGCAATCGTAAGACAGCGACTTTATGAGAAATCAAGACACTGTAAAACAAATCCAAAAGAATGAAAAATTAGAAGACAATGTGAAATATCTCATTGAAAAAACAACTGACCTAAAAAATAGATCCAGGAGAGAGAATTTAAAAATTATTGGACTATCTGAAAGCCATGATCAAAAAAAGAGCCTAGACATCATCTTTCAAGAAATTATCAAGGAAAGCTGCCCTGATATTTCAGAACCAGAGGACAAAATAGAAATTGAAAGAATCCACAGATCTCCTCCTGAAAGAGATCCCCAAAGGAAACCTCCTAGGAATATTGTAGCCAAATTCCAGAGTTCCCAGGTCAAGGAGAAGAAGGAAACAATTCAAGTATTGTGGAAACACAATCAGGATAACACAAGATTTAGCAGCTTCTACATTAAAGGACCACAGGGCATGGAATATAATATTCTGGAGGGCAAAGGAGATAGGATTACAACCAAGAATCACCTACCCAGCAAAACTGAGTATAATCCTTCAGGGGAAAAAATGGTCATTCAGTGAAATAGAGGACTTTCAAGCATTCCTGATGAAAAGACCAGAGCTAAACATAAAATTTGACTTTCAAATACAGGACTCCAGTGGAACATGAAGAGGTAAACAGGAAAGAGAAATCATAAGAGACTTATTAAGATTGAACTGTTTACATTCCTGCATGGAAAGATGATATTTGTAACTCATGAGAACTTTGTCAGTATTAGGGTAGTTGAAGGAAAAAAATTGTATGTATGTATATATAGATAGATAGAGGGCACAGGGTGAGTTGAAGATTAAGGGGTCATATCTGGAGAATAAAATTAAGGGATGAGAGAGGATGATACTCAGAGAAGAAAGGGAGAGGTAGAATGGGGTAAATTATCTCACGAAAAAAAAGAAAAGAAAAGTCTCACAGTGGAGGGGAAACAGGGGAAGGTGAGAGGGAATGAGGAATCTTATTCTCATAGGATTTGGCTTAAGGAGAGAATAACATACACATTCAATTGGGTATGGAAATCTGTCTTACCCTACAGGAAAATAGGGGGAGAAGGGGACAAGAGAGCAGGGGGATGATAGAGAGGAGGGCAGATTGGGAAAGAGGGTAATCAGAAGCAAATACTTCTGAGGAGGGACAGGGTCAAAAGAAAGAATAGAATAAATGGGAGGGCAGGATAGGATTAAGGGAAATAGAGTTAGTTTTTCACAACATGTCTACTAAGGAAGTGTTTTGCATAACTGCACATGTACAACCTCTATTGAGTTGCTTGCCTTTTCAATGAGGGTGGGTGGGGAGGGAGGAAGGGAGAAAATTTGGAACTCAAAGTTTTAAAAACACATGTTTTTTAAAAAAATGTTTTCACATGCAACTGGGAAATAAGAAATACAGGAAATGGGGTACAGAAGTCTATCCTGCTCTACAGGAAAATAGAAGGGGAAGGGGATAAGAGAAGGGAGGGGGGAGAGATAGAAGAGAAGGCAGACCAGGGGAAGTGGTATTCAGAATGCATGCCATCTTGGGGTGGGGGGGAGGGGTGAGAAATTTGGAACTCAAAAACTTGTGGAAGTGAATATTGAAAGCTAAAAATAATAAATTTATATTAAAAAAAGATTATTCGAAGAACATCTGGATGTCAAAAAATAATTTTATTGCTTATCGTATTTCATCTCTAATGCAGTTGTTCTGTAGGTGAGTCTGGTTAATACTGGACTCCTGAATCTGTTGTTTTGAAATGAATATTTATATATATATATATTTTGTCATAATAAAAATATAATTAAAAAATATATATTTTTGTCAGAATCCAAAGAGATGGTGAAATTGGCATTGTAGTTTGATGTTTCAGGAACCTTTTTTTTTAAGGAAAGTAATTTTTTCTTAGTGTCATTATTTCTTAATTCTGTTTGTCTTTCATTGATTATACTTACTATATGCCATAGAAAGAATTTAGAAGATTCAAGGACATGCCACAATTCAAATAATTACGCCTTAGTGTTTAATGATTTTGGTGAATTTCCTTTTAATTTTCCAGATTGAATATCAAACTGCCTTGGATGAAAACCTGCACTTGGCTCAAGAGTATCAGCGAGATCTGATAAGGTTCTTAGAAGTAAAGAACTGGTATTTGGATGAATGCAACAAAAAGACAACAAAGGAAGCTGCCATTAAGGATAAGAAAAGGGTATGAACTTTGCTGTGCTTAAAAAGGTGTTTTGTTTGATATATACACTCCTTAAAAGTAGAAATTAATTAAATCATGAGATCTCTAATCTGGTAGATTTAGGGTACCACACACGTTTGTGTGTGTGTGTGTGTGTGTGTGTGTGTGTGTGTGTGTGTGTGTTTCAAACTTCCAGGAATCTGTCCAAATTGGATTTTGTGATAATTTCTAATAATTAGTTGTCATTGTATTCTAAGAATATTAAATATTTTAAAATTAGTTAAATGTAAAGTAATTTCTTGAAAATGGTTCAATATGAAATGCTATCTAGAGATCCTGGTCTTGAGGTAGTTTTCATTTTCACAGGATTAGGTATGTTCTTTTAGTTTCCAGGCAGTGCTTCCAGGCATTATGGTGCAGTACCTAGATTGATCTATCAATCTTCCCTTTGTGTGTGTGTGTGTGTGTGTGTGTGTGTGTGTGTGTGTGTGTGTGTGAGTGTGTGTGTGTATGAGAGAGACTGGGAAAGTGGGAGAAAGTAACAGATCTGAGGGTGCTAGAGAGACATAGAGTCAAACACAGACAGAGCTGTGGAAGGGGGAAGAAGAGAGGAGATAGAGATGATACTTTAGAAAACTGAGGAGGAATCGTTCTGTCTCCCCTTTGTTAACTTTGGTAATATTAGATATGATAATGCACTGGTGATTTTCAAGGTTCTCTGTGTGAATTTTTCATCTCTTCAGCATTTAGGTAGGTAGTGCAATGGATAGAACACTGGACTTGGAATCAAGAAAACCTGAATTCAGAATTCCTCACACTCTTACCAGTTGTGTGACCCTGGGCAAGTCACTTAACCTCCCTCAGATTCAGTTTCCTCCTCTGTAAAATGGAGAGAATAATAGCACCCACCTCATATGTTGAAGACTTCCCTTGAGAAATGGGCAGATGAGAACAATTTGTTCCAATTGCCATGAAGCAGGTGCTCTATCTATATGGAGAGGACTGTGTTGGAGAAAAGCTCAAGAAAGAACATTTGTGTCTTTGGAAATTATCAATTATCTGGCAAATTGCCACAGTTCTCAAACAATTCAACAGGTTTTGAAGAAATCCATCAATGTATCAGTGGAGCATTAGTCTGCTTCACTTTGGGCATTTGTCATTGTTACTGTGGTTGAACATGTCCTGTTTGTTACTGATAATTGGGGGAAATAAAAGAAGCAATGGCCGTATAGTATTTCCTTTTTACAGCCAAAGAGAATAGAAAAATCAACTGCATATAGGCTAGGGATTAGTTTGTGCAAAAACATCCCAGCTTAAAAAAAAGTATTACCTTTACATGAATAGTAGATTTTACACTTTTAAGGAAAATGTTTACAGTCTTGTTTTAGCACTTTAGCTATCATATCGAAATTACTTTGATTTATTTTTTTCTCCCTTTTGTCAAGTGAAGGAGGAATGTGGTACATATAATAGATCTGATCTGGCAGATCATTTACTACCCTGCACATACCACACATCAGTGTGGTCTAGTGAACAGTCGAAAGAGGGGTTTGGGTTTTATATTTGGGGTCCTTCAAACAAGTCATTTTCAGCATACCTGTTCAATAGAAACTTTCAAAGATTTATTTGTACTTCTCCTCATTTTTCATTTACATCCTTCAGTTATGGAGGTCATTAAGTGCAGCCTGCCCTTGTCAGTGTCATGTTGGATCAATTTGCAGCAATGGACAGAGAGGCCTTATTGATGTCATTAAATCTGTCAGTGAGGAATCATATGTCATTAGTTTCTAATGCACTATTTACAGGATGGAATCTGACCATTAAAAATCAGAAGAATTTCGAGTTCTTTAGTCTTCCTCCTTAGTAATTCTGCTATAAGAAGGGGTTTTAGTCTTTTATCTAATCTAGTTTTGAATGTTAGAGTACATTATATCCTCCCTGATCCCCTTGTCATGTAATTCTATAGCCTAATAGATCTCCTTATCAAGAATATTTTTTTCCTCTTCTATTTTGTCTCCATTTGTTCATTCTTAGCTTGATTTCATTGCTTCTAAAATGCATACTTTAAGTATGCTAAATAATTTTTTTCTTTTTAATAATATACTTCTTAGACATTATTTTCCCCTTTCCACAATCTTCTTTGCTAAGCCAATTTGCATGTATTTAACCTTTCTTTACATTTTAGTGGAATGGACTAGTGGAAAAGATGAGTTTTGTGATCTCACTGTTGTCAGTACTCTCAGTGAAAGTCCATATTGACACATTCAGTCGTGCCTCTTATTCACCTCTTTCCATGAATCCTCTACAGGAAATTCACTCATGCTGAAGCCTCCCTGTAGGTGTCCTGACATTGTATGGAAGCCAATAGAGCCCATGGATTGTTCATTGTTTTTCCCTTGCTCTCTTACTTAATGCATGATCAAACCAGCACCTTTCCCAGGTATACAATCCTGTGCTGTTATTTAGTAAAGCACTTCTCTTGAATAATGTAGTTGGCAATATGTCACATCTTACTAACATCCATGATCTTTAATGGCCTGTAGGTTCTCCTTTCAACTACTTATTATCTCCTGGAAAATGTCCTTTTTCTACTTGTTTTTTTTTTTCCTATGTGGATAGTTAGGCTGAACCCTTTTACGGAACTATGTTCTAGGGCTAGATGCAGAAGCAGCATGTCATCCTCAAAAAGGTCCCTCTGGAGAACCTCATCATTTATGTAGAATCCTTCTTCCATTTCCTCTCTGTCCTGGACTTTCTCCAAAACCGTGGCAGACACAGTTGGCAAGTCTGCCTCTCCCTGTTATATGCCTTGCTTGACGTTAAAAACCACAGCGTCATTGAATAAAATTATCTGTTGTCAAATCTTTCAAGAAATCCATGCTAGGGGGCCTCTGACAACACTGCTAGGTTACATGTTAGGATAAACTAGTGCTCTTATACATCATTAAACACTAATGAAAGGTTTATTAAGCCCTAACATAGCAAGGATATGCAGCAAGAGTACTGTGGAACTTGGCTTCTATAACACCTCTCCCTACCTGTATCTCCATCTCCATATAGAAGCATATCTGTTCAGTAGGGCAAAGTATGGGCAATCATCAGACATCGATCAAGTTTAAGGGGACCAGACTCTGTGTAGGTGTGACTTTTTATGTCTGTAGGTGATCAGAAAGTTGAATCAAGAGAAGCAAAATCTAATTTGGTCCTGGGGACAGTTTTGTATCCTTTCAAGGGAAAATTAATTCCTGTTGGGGTGGAGAAAGGACTCTGATAAATATTGGTCCAATTACAATATTGGAAATATCTTGACAGAAGAGAACCTTTAAACCAAAATTTTTCTTTACTGAATCCATTTTTAAAAGGTCAGCAAAGAATAAACACAGAGGGATATTGTATTCTCTGTATGATACAGTCAATTGTGTTACTGAAAAGATGTGACCTATTGTAAAATAGTTTGCAAAACCTTACTGTTCCCTTCTTATATCTTCATCAAGAATGCCCTCTAGAAATAAAAACTGTTTATATATAATATATATATATATAAATTGTTCACATATATATATTTAATAGTTACAAACTATTGGTAGTTATGTTTTCACAAGTGTTTGGAACCTTCCTCTCTTTTAGAAATCTTGAAAATCAGTCCTTCAATGCTCTTAAAATTGTGGTGCTTCCACCACAAATCTTCCCTCTGTAGTCTTGTTCTATTCCAGATACTCTCCTCATTTTGTTTTCTTGAGTGCCATTCCTATCTTTTCACATAGCACACCTGAAAATATGAACTTCAGTTAAAAATGCACTAGCTCCACTGTCTTGATGGGCAAAAAAACTCGATTCTTGTGTTTTGTTGTCATCCTACAGTTCCACCTAGAAATATCTCAGAATGATCTGGTTTATTAGGTTCTTTCACCAAACTTGCTGTAAATTTTTCTTCTTCTTCTACAGCTTAAAGTGTTATGAGGTCATGGTAGTCATCATTTTCCAAGATCTTTGGTAAGATTTTTATAAATGAGTTTATATTCCACATTAGCCTTGTCTTTACTTAGCAGGAAAATAAAAAGTTTTTTGGCTAAGGCAGTTCCTAGGCTCTTTCGGTCTCTTTATTGTGGTGATTGTTTTACTTTGGTTAAACTTTCTTAGGAAAAGGTGATAATTTGTGTACTTTTGTCCATTTTCCATTTTTCAATGTAAAGAGCTTGTTTACAAAGGTCGCTTTGAAAATATTTTAATTACACATCCTATTTTCTCATTTCTATTCTTTTAACTTGCTATTGATTTTGATGTGTCCTCTAACTACTTGATATTCTGACTATGCACAGACAGCTGGAACAGAAATGACTCCCAGAGCAATAACAATTTTTGTCTTGTTTCTTAAAATATAAGGAATGTATTTGTGTGTGAGTAGTAGGACTTGTTGCTTAACACATAGAACATTTTCTAACTCTCTGTTCAAAGAATGTATTCAATGTTTATAGTCATGAAGCTTTTGTGTTGTCTACAAGCCTGTGTCCTTTCTTGTTGTTATTCCTGAACCATGTTTTCTAATGTATTTTTCACTGTCAATACTCAATAAACTCTTATTAAATGTCTACTACATTCAAAGTCCTGTGCTAAGCACTGATGATACATATATGAATAAGGATAGTCTCTGTCTGCCCCATGCCCACCTTTTACATTTAAGCCATCAAATATTAAAGTATATGTTGATTTAATTTAGAGAGCAGTTCTACCAATTCTTTATAGCACATCTTTACTTCTTCATCTTCTGCAAAAGGTGTTGGATCAAGATTGGAGCTATCTTCATGATAGCAAATTCAGTTCAAATTAATAAGCATTTATTAAACACTGGGTGCTTATCATGAGTATGACAAAATAAGAGTGTGTCTCATGAAACTGTTTCTAATTGCTTTTTAGACTGATAATAAAACCAGATATCCTGGGTACTTCCTACAAAGTCTATGTGCTGTCTTTTTACTTTCCTCCTTTTTCATCTTCAGGTCTCACTTATTGTAAAAATGGCA